CATTTCATATACTTTTTTATTTGTTATCTCCATTTCTTTACAGCAGTTTTTCACCTCCTGTTTAAGTTCCTCTATTATTTTCATATAGTTCCATTTAGAGTTGATTTCTTCTATTTCTTCTGGAGTAGGGTGTTCAGTTCTTCTAGTTTCGTGATCCCTGTATTCTGGTGATGTCATGTTGCCTTTCAGGTTGTTGGAGGAATTCTTGCATTGGCGCCTGCCCATCTCTTCCTTCAAATGGAGCCAGGAGAGTCTTGGTGTCTTGGTTCAGTCTTTGCTGTGACTGACTCTCGGGGTGGATCTCTTCGGTGCAGGAGCAGGAACTGTTCCTGTCCCTCTAGATGGAACTCCTCAGCACTGAAACAGGGATAGCTGGTAGTCCAAGGACACAGGAGACAAAAGGGCGATCGTGGGGGTAGGGCAGGGTCAAGTGAAACACAGAAAACCCTGCAGCAGGAGCTGGGGAGGGCTGTGCTCTCTTCTGGGACAGTCTGCCCCAGATAGCACACACTCACCCCTCTGGATGGAACTCCTCAGCACAGACACAGGGATAACTGATATTCTAAGGACACAGGAGACAAAAGGGCAATCGTGGGGGCAGGGCAGGGCAGGGCAGGGCAGGGCAGGGTCGAGTGGAACACAGAAGACCCTGCAGCAGGAGCATGGGGGGGGCTGTGCTCTCTTCCAGGACAGTCCGCCCCGGATAACACAGATTCACCCCTCTGGATGGAACTCCTCAGCACAGACACAGGGATAGCTGGTAGTCCAAGGACATAGCAGACAAAAGAGCGAACGTGGGGGCAGGGCAGGGTCGAGTGGAACACCCATTTGTTCTTTCTGTTGTTAGAAACAGCTGTAATGTTTCTAGAGAACTGAAAATGCATAATGACTATTTCTATGATTTAAGGAAGAGCTAGGTCAGCTATATTGAAAGGTTCCCAGTTCCCCTTAGGGCTTGGGAACCTAAACTTTGTCTCACCCTGTAGATAAAATGGAATCTGAAGTAAAAATGTTAGTGCTTAGGACAAGGAGCTTTTTGCCTGTTCCCAGCAATACCTAAAAGAGATGACTTGCATCTAGGCAGTCCACAGTAGTCTGACACCGTAGTTCACGGGTAGAGCACTTGACTAACACACACAAGTCCTAAGATCAAGCCCTAGCTCCACAAAAACAATCCACACTCATGCCACTTAAAATGAGATAATTATTCAAAGTCTAGAACAGATTCTGGCTCCCTATTGGTTAGTGTGAATATGCAGAACCGAAAAGCAGAGGCAAGCTAGCAGTAGGAATGCCAATAAACGGTCTACATACAGAATGTATGGACAGTCTCACTAACAGGAAAATATTCCCTGTCCCCAGTTCAAGTCAGCAGGGACTTAATGTTGTCTATGGGAAGCCACTGTCTACACATTCTACCATCAGAGGGCACAAGATAAAATCCCGAGACCTCCAGCCAGAGACCTGTTTCTCACCACACAGCAAATCTCTGGGCATCTTGACCCTGGATTTCTCAGTCTACAAAACTGTGCGTTTTTTTACGGTTTGTAAGTTACTGAGGTTATGGTCTTTTGTTTTATTTCTGATATGTGGGTCTCTTTTACCATGTACTGGTGTTCTGTATCCTCCTGTTTCAGCCTTCAAACATCTGAGGCCACAGACACTAAGAGCACAATTTGTAGTTTATTGTCTATTGGGAACAGCATTCTCAGAGAGGACATGGGGTAAGAACTGTGCCACTGACCTGTATTCCCTGATCACTGGAAATTTTAATCTCAGGCTTGTAAACATTTTAGATACTCAGACCTATCTCTTCTTAAAAACTTAAACCACTTGAACCTTGCAGCAGAAATAGATTGTATTGATAGAGTGTGTTAAATGTAGATCATCTGTGACGATTGATAGCAAACACTAAGTAGCAACATTTCCCATCAATCACAACATTAGTGGCTAATCTGGGGACCTCTAGTGCCATGTTCTGAATGTTTATGTACCACATGCCTATGTTGAAACCTAGTCTCCAATGGGATGTCAGTATCATTGGGTCTTTAGGAGTTGTCACAGGGACCAGGAGATAAAAAGCCAGGACAGAGAATTGGGTCTAGGGTCTTGCTCAAGCTAGATGAATGCTATACCACTGAGCTGTATTCTCTGGCCCTTGGGGTTTTATTTAATTTTTGGTAATTTCATATATGAACACAATGTCTCAAGATCTTGAACATGATTAGTTATACCATCTGCCCAGTAGAAGACACAGGTTCAGTCTTTGGCTTAGAGAGCAGGCCCTCACCACACAGCATATATGCAGGTATGTGCTTCATGGTCTCCAAAACTACAAATATACTTTTTATTGTTTTAAGCCACACAGGTTATGGTACATATATGTTCACACATGTATATAACATATATATTCTTGAGATGTAGTGTATATAGAATGGGTAGTCCTTTATCTCTCTTTTTAAAAGATTTTATTTTTATTACGTATAGTGTTCTGCCTGCATGTATGCCTGCAGGCCAGAAGAGGGCACCAGATCTCATTACAGATGGTTGTGAGCCACCATGTGGTTGCTGGGAATTAAACTCAGGACCTCTGGAAGAGCAGCCAGTGCTCTTAACCACTGAGCCATCTCTCCAGCCCAGTCCTTTAGCTCTTAAGATAACAAAACCCTCCTACTTCAGTCTTCCAAGAAGCCAAGCCACAGACATCTATCTCAGAACTGAATGAGCTGGCAGCCTGAATTGATGAAGACAGCAGGGCTGAGGCTTACCAGAAGTTTCATAAATCATTTGTAGATATGAGAAAACTTGGTGATTGGCAAGAAGTGGATATGGAAATCTAACAGTCAGCCATTACCAATGTAGACAGTTATCCCAAAGCATCTAAAGAGCAGAAAGAATTGGACCTAGGTCTTACACATATCAGGTAAGTACTGTACCATTGAATTGTATTCTAAGATCATTGGAAAATTTTTGTTCTTTGGTAAATTCATACACTAATAAAATATGTCACATTCAACCCCACACAACAACACCCTCAAGACACCCCAAACTCCCACCATATTCTTCTCATTTTGTTATTCCTTCCTCTTCTCCTCCTTCTCCTTCTTCTCCCCCTGCTGTTCTTCCTTTTCTTTTTCTCCCTTCTCTGTCTTCTTCTCCTTCTTTTTCTCTTTTTCCTCCTTTAATAACCTATTCACTGAAATTAGACTTCATCATTTTTGTACTTACCACGTGGAGAGAAACTATAACTAATGTAGCCTTCCCTGGAGCTTACTCAATAGCTCAGGCAGGTTTATCTTGTGATTCCTGTCCTCAGTCCTCTGAACAGAAAGGATTGCAAGCCTATGTCATCTGATCTACTTTATTTTATTTTATTTTCTATGGTGTTGGGCATCACACCCAGGGTCTTGTAATACAGGGCAAGCTCTCTACAACTGAGTTACATCCCTAACCTTAAAACTTCTGTAGATGTTTGACACATGTGTCGCATGACTAGGGAATCCTGCTCTAGCTTGTAAATTAAAAACTTGAGTACATGTGATCACATGAAATCATGTGTGAGAATAGCCATACAGCTTTATTAAAATGCAAACCTGGGATTGGAGGCTCATCCCTATAATTTAAACACTCAGGAAGCCAAGGCAGTGATATCATGAAGTCAGGGTCCGCCTGGGCTACATAGAGACCTTGTCCAAAAATGGAGAGCAAATAAACAAGTGAAACAATAAGATGGTGAAAATAAGCAGTTGCCCATAGTTAGGGTAAGTGGATAGAATGTGTTGTGTGCACAGTTGGATGGCATTCCACAAAAAAGGAAACAAAAACATTATATAAAGTGACATAGTCAGTCACACAACTTTTTACTTGTATTTCATTTGAAACAAGCCCCAATATAGCAATTTAAGTAGTGTCTTGGTTACAGTGGTCAGTGAATGACAGCAAAGGGGCATGAGGAAAGCCTTGGTGGGGGAGTGAGGGCTGTTCTGAACCGGATGTGGTGGCAGTTACATGCCTTGAGAGTTTTCTCAGATTCACTAAGCCATTCCTCTAAAAGAGATTAATTGTATTTAAACAGTCCACAGTAGTCTAAGGGAATAGTTTGGGGTAGAGCACTTACCTAACACATATAAGCCCTCACATTAAGCCCTTGTCCCGTAAAGACAATCCACAGCCAAGATACTAAAAGTGAGATCATTATTAAATGTCTAGAACAGATTCTGGCTCTGTGTTGGAAGTTCAGTGTGTACGTACAGAACTGAAAAGCAGAAACAACCTTGCAATAAGAACTTTAATAAATGCTCTACACATAGAATGTGAACAACCTGCACGGTCAGTCTCACTAAGAGGACAATCTTCCATGTCCCCTGTTCAAGTCAGCAGGGACTTAATGTTGTCTTTGGAATTCCGTTGTTTACACATTCTACCAGCAGAGGGTACAAGATGTAATTCTTGAGACCTCTAGCAAGAGACCTGTATGACACCATAAAGCAAATCTGTGGACATCTGGTACCTGATTCTCACTCTATAAAACTGTACATTTGATATCATTTGTAAGTTATTGAGATTATGACTTTTGGTTTTGTCTCTGAACTGTGGACCTTGTTATCTTGCCCTGGGCTTTTATAATCCTCCTGTCTCAGCCTCCTCTTAGGTCACAGACACTAATAGCCCAGTTTGTAGTTTATGATCTATTGGGAGCAGCTTTGTGAAATTATGAAGGCAATGGGGCTTTGGGAAATCAGATTTTCTGTTGGCGGATGAGAAATAGAAAACATCAACTTGCTGAGAAAGGACAGAGGATTTCCTGTTGTCAGTTGTGCCCACAGCTTCTACTTCATTTGAAGAGGTTCTAAGGCTTGGAAAAGAGGAGAGAGAGGATGTGAAAAGAAGAAAGGAAGGGAGGGAGGGAGGGAGAGAGGGAGAGAGGGAGGGAGGGAGGAAGGGGCGAGCCTAATCACAGTGAAGTGTTAAGCTGAGGGAACATTGGGGTTCACAATCCATATGGTTATGAGAGTATTTATTGAGTCTAATAAAATGTGTCCAGAAGGATAAGGAATAACACCCAGAGGGATTGTCTTCTTGACTGAAAAGGCAAAAGCTGAGGTTAGAAATGCTTATGTGAGCGTTGGAACAAATACGTTAAATAAATGGAAGTTGTAACCTCAGGATGACCCCATCCACCTTCCTGCCTCAGGGCATTAAAGCTCTGTGCGCTTCTCCTGTGTCCTCTTTAGCTCCTGGATCTTCTGGGGCAGAGTCTTCGTCCAGAACTGCAGCTTCCTGGCCTTCAGGGCTCGGCCCACAGCAGGCTGGATGTCCAGCTGTAGATACTGCTCATCATGGACCAACTCAGGCCAGTAGGGGAGACCCTCGCTGTTGGGGTTCCTGTGGATATGATACCCAGTGGGGAAGGGTGAGGTCACTCTCATCCAAGACCTGATGCCTCGATTTGGGTCAGAGCAGTGGATGAGTAGGCCAAGGGTCTAAGGGACACACTAAATGGACTGGTGTGCTGATAGAGAATACAAGTGTCGCTCACTAGTGTCTGATATGAAACAAGGGAAGCTGTCTAGGTTTGTGTCTCCCTCTCAGAGGGAAAAATCTAAAGAACAGTACCACAATGATGTGACTCACCAACAAGGTCTCTGTGGGATGAGCAGTAAGGGAAAGCTAGAAGGTGTCTGCCTAAGTGTGACTTGGGTTGTAGAAAACTATTGTGTAATTAAGGACCCATGCATAATAATGAGCACACCCAGAAGGAAGCCCTCAGTGGAGACCCAGGCAAAAAGTGATTGAGGGAGGAGCATGTGCTCACCCATGTCTTGCAAAGTTAGTCCAGTACTTCATCATCCTCCTGTTCAGCAGCTTCTCCTCCTCAGTGAGGTCAACTGCAGACAAAAGGAGACAAGGGTCAAAGTTCTCGCTACCTCGTGCATCTGCCAACTCAGGCTCTACAATAGCAACCATAGCCTGACCCTGAACCCTGGCCTGGTGTATCCTTAGCACTTAGAACCCAGGGTCTGTCTATGCCTCTACTTGAATTCTCTCAGGTTCACTCCTACCCAGTGTGCTCTCATTCCTTATGGCAAAGCTAGACTAGGAAAGGTTCATATTCTAAACCTGGTAGAGGTTTTGTTGGTTGGTTGGTTTGTTTGCTTGGTTTTTGTTGTTGTTGTTGTTGTTTTTTCCAGCTCAGAAATGGTGAACACTTGATTCTGTTCTTGAGATCCTCGGTTTCCTCAACTGGACCGAGAGCTCAGCCTTCCCTCAGGAACTCATCAGGGGCTCCACTCAGCTCAAGGAAAACAAGGAAGACTCACGTTTCAAGCCCCAGAGGTTGGAGCCAAAGACAAAGGCGCCATGATCACCATGGTCAGCCCTCACATGGGGTGGCCGGATGTGCTTATGTTTGATGAAGCTGGGCTGGTGCTGGAACTGATAGAAGTAGACAGGAGCGTGGGACCCTGGGAGTGAGGACAAATAATGACATAATGATTTCTCACATGGAGCGTTCCCACTTAACCTTCACTGAAAAGAAACCTTGCTCTAAAGGTATCTAGAATCCCAGCAGAGTGGTGAGCTCCAGACTGGAGCACTGAGTATGGGAATCATTTTGTTAAACAGTGGCCCTGGCATTCCCACATGAGTAGTTTTGACAAGACCCCAAGTGTAACTAAAACGTTTCTTCTTATGAACATGGATAAGATGCCATTCATTTACTCTAGCCAAAAGGATTTGCTGAGGTGTGCCTCACTGTCCTCAGGTACCTGATGTTAGAGACCTGATGATGACATGGGTCAGGCCTGGCCACTACAGAGTCCACCTGGGACCCACAGCTCTGAGCTCCTCCTGTCCTAGGGATTGTTACAGATGTACTCACGCTGAAAATATGCTACTTGGAGTGCAGGGATCACAAACATGAAGTCCGCCATCATGTTTCTGAACTGTGCTTGCAGGGTCTGGGCATCCTCAACATCCCCCATGTACTCTTCCATTAACAGGTCACTACACTCAGGAGGCAGCATCTACACCAGGAGGAATCAGGAAGAGAGATGTAAGGCAAGTCCTTGGATAGCTGGGCAGCAGCCTCCAAATAAGGAATGTGGCCAGGGATGAGACAGGGTATAGGCAGAAAGGTATAAGCATTGGGTGAGCCCACACAGAAACACATATACTCATTAGCCTTTATTCCGGGTGTGACATCAGAGAAGAATATATGGGAACACTCTATATCAGGACAGGAGCCATGGTCTCTCACCATATGTGCTGCTGTGTTCTTCAAAATAGCTGGCAGGGTCTCTCTGGTTATGTTCTTTATGACAGGATCAAACCCCATGTACTGGAAGGTAGAGGAGAGTCTTAAGTATAGGATGCATTGGATCTAGATCAAAGTATCTCTGAGGTCCTACCACCCACCATTTGAGCTTAAGTTCTTAGGAGCTTATAACAAGGTCTCACCAAAGGGATTCCCCAGCCAAATTCATCCCTGTCAACACCAATGATGCTGGGGACAGGGCGAAAATCCACAGAGGCCAACAGCTCCCGAGGGTGCCTAGGTAGGAATGTCCCATCCACAACAGCAGGCATCATAGTAAAGACCTATGGGACATTAAGGGTCATTTCTTAAGATAAACAACATAAATAATAAATATTCTGATGCCCACTGAATACCCACACCATTTTTCTGTTTCCTATAGCATCTCAGGATCTCAGTGTTAACTCCAGAAGAAACCAGACATCCAAATTAGCCTGTCTTTCACTTTGCACAGAGTACTAAAACAATACCAAACCAAGCAGACTAGTTTTAACTAGTTCCACTAGTAAGTTTTGACAATCCTGAATCCTGGTGACCACATTCTCCAAGCCACACAATTTTCTCAACCTGGTTGATAGCCAGAATCTCTGCTTCACTCTTGTCTCGTAGGCAGTGTACCATGGCCTCTGGGTCCACGGCTTTACATCCAGATAGGTTGGCCACTTTCTGCAAATGGAACAGGTAATGGTTAGCTCATTCCTTCCACCAGGGAGCAGAGTTTCCTTGTTCCAGTAGATGGCATTGCCCCTAAATACCACATCCTGCTGTTTGCTGTGTGTGAAAGCACTTAAGTGGAATCATTCACATTTTCTGTGGCTCAGAGGTGACAGCCGGGACAGGGACAGTGCTACCTGCGTATTTGTTTTGTTGCTGCTTTGTTTGTTTCTGTGTGTGGTGTTCATGTGTGAAAATAGATATGGTGTGTCATATTTTGCCTATGAAGTTCAGAGAATACCCTCAAGTGTCACTTGTCACCTTGAACGTTGTTTCCTTTTGTCTACACCAGCTTAGCTGGGCTATGTCTATTCAAGGATTCTACTGGCTCTGTTTCCCATCTCTGCATAGGAGCACTGGGGGAACTGTCACATTGTACCACCTCTAGCCTTATGTGGGCTCCAGGTGTTTGAACCTGGGGACTCACATTGCCACAGCAAGTATTTATAACAGCTGACCCTTTTCCTCAATCTGTGTGTACCAATTGGATACCTTTTTAAATCAGCTTGACATAAGCCAAGGTCATTGGGAAAAAGGAACTTCAACAGAGCAAAGACCTCTATCAGATTGGTCCATACATAAATCTGGGCATTTTCCTGGTAAATGACTGATACAGAAGGGCCCATCACATTGAAGGCAGTGCCACACATGGGCAGGTGTCCTGGGCTGTATAGGAAAGCAAACTGAGGAAGCCATGGGTATCCAGCAAGTACGCAGTGTTCCACACTGGTCTCTGCTTCGGTTCTGGTTTCCAGGGACCTGCCTGAGAGCCCACTCTATCTTCCCTTCAAGTTGGACTGTAAACTATAAAAATTTAGTAAGCTAAAATTAATTTCTTTTCTCCCAAAGTAGATTTGATCATGGTCTCTGTAATAGTAATAATAAGAAGTAAACTAGGAAATCATGCAAATGAGTTTTGTCAATGGTAGAAGCCACTGGACACAGTTTTTCTGTTGTGTATCTTATTCAGCATACATAAAGCAGAGGGGAATGGATTGTAAATTTATGACTCTCAGAAATTACTGGAAATAATCTATTTCCCATGATCATTGTTTTCTTCACTTATAAGATTAATGGAGTACCAGAGGCGCAGACTGAATCCCCAAAGTAGGAACTGGTATTTATGAGGACACTCACTGTGTAGACCCTCTCGTGGGTGTCAGAGATAAGGTCAGGATGCAAAGCCACGCCACTCTGCATGATGGCTCTGTGGAAGAGTCCTTTGGACATGGGGGACACAACAAGTGAAGACACACTTGTTCCTCCTGCTGACCCGCCGAAAATAGTGACCTGGCCAGGGTTGCCTCCAAAGTAGGCGATGTTCTGCTGGACCCAGCGTAGGGCGGCCACTTGGTCCAGGTAACCCCAGTTGCCTGTGGCGTGCTGGTCTCCAGTACTGAGGAGGGGCAGGGACAGGAATCACAGATCTGTCCATGTTCAATTCAGACATCATTGTCCTGCCCAGTTCCAGGCTTACCTGAAGAAGCCAAGGACACCCAAGCGATACTGGATAGCAACCATTATTATATCCTCAGTAGCAGCCAGTATGGATCCATCGGTCATGGAAGCCATTCCCAGAACAAGTGCACCACCATGAATCCATACCATCACCTGGAGACATCAACACAAATCTCAGGAGGCACAACCAGCCCGTGGTCAACTGGACTACACACTAGATTATCAATTGCTTTACCTCTGTGAAGGTCAATTTACACAGATCTCCTAAGGATTTTGGGACATGGTCCACAGATGGGATACTCTAGGCCTATAAGCATATTACCATTCCCAATTCCTCATCAGGAAAACTTAGCTTGAATTAATAGCCTTACATCACAAGTAATGACATCATCACTCTCAAACTCATCAAAGTGGAGCAAACAGGAGTGTCTCCATGTGTGACTTTCCTGGTTGCTAAACAGAAGGGACATCAGATCCCATTGGCACAAAAGATAACCTGCAGCTAGGAATTTTGATGATGTCAATATGCAGCCCTTAAGCACCCTCTTGAGTGGGCCAGCTTGGTTCAAATTGGTAGAAAATTTTCTGGTTTAATCAAAGACGCAGAGCCTGTTATCTCTCAGAGTCCCAGAGCTCTGAGTCCCACACCCAGGGATAAGCAGCTCATTGTGACTGGGATGACATTCCTGACCCCAATAAGTTAAAACTACCTGTCAGGGTATAAACTAGAATACAGTTCAGAATTACTTTTTCCCTTCCAATCCTCCAGAGAAAGAAACATCCTGCTCCCCAGCTGACGATACCCTGACACTCACAGGCAGGTTAGAACCTTCACGGGCATGCGCTGGTGTGTAGATGTTGAGATACAGGCAGTCCTCAGACATAGAGATGGGATGCATGATCAGATTCATCTCCTTGGCTCCCTCTAGAGTCGTTACGTCAGTCTGCAGACACCTGGAGAACATGGAAGACAGTCCAAGATGTATGATACCAAACCTAAAAATCTTCGTCTGAATTGTCTCTCAGGCACCTTCAGCTACTGCTTTCCATGATTTCCTGTGAACATCTGACCCCTCTCTGAAGTCCCTCCCTACCAAGGTAAAGGTCACCAGTTCTGTGGGAATGGCGATGGAGCAGTACTTTTACGAAGACCTTTGGTTGGGTAGTAGCACCCTGAGGGCTAGAATATGGGGACTGCTGCCATCCTCTATGAGATGGTCGCCTTCCTGTACTGACTTTCATCCCTTCTGTGCTACTTAAATCCTGGTGTGGGGGTTGGTTTTGACTGTTGACTGGCGCAATGTGGAATCACCTGGGAAAAGAATCCTAATGAGACATTATCTAGATCAGTCGTTCTCAATTTAACTAATGCTATGAGACGTTAATAGAGTTCCTCATTTTGTGACCAGCCGTACACTCTCTTGCTGCTACTTCAAAAGTGTAATTTTGCTACTGTTGTGAACAGTAATGTGAATCTCTGTTATACAGGATGTTTGATCTGCAAACCTTGATATGTGGAGATGGCAACCAACAGAATGAGAACCACTTGTCTGGATCCTGTTTGCCTGTGGGCAGGCCCATTGCAAATTATCTGATAACATTGATTGACAGAGAAACACCTGCTCATTGCAGGAGGCACCAGGGCCTGGGAAGAGGCTTCAGAATTGTTTAGGAGTCGGGAGAGTGAACGAAGCATTAGCACTCAAGCATGTGACCTATAGGCTCAGTTTCTGATTAGCGATGGGATGTGATCGGTCCTCTTAAACTTCTGCCCTGTGGTTTCCACCTGTAACTGATTATGACCTGAAATTGTGACCCATAGTAAAATCTTCCCTCACTGGATTGTTTATGTCAGGGTTCTTGATCACAGCAACACAAAACAAACTGAGATACTCGGGTGTTGGGGCTGTGCCCACATGGGATCTATAGGAATGAATGGATAACACCATAGGGTAGGAAGACATTCTCCATCTCACTCCAGACTCTCACAGTACCTCCTTCTTCCACATTGTCTCCAGTTGAAAGCATGTGCACCTGTTCCTTAGCCAATGTCACCTGGACAGTGGATGGTCACAGTGACCTTAGTCTCTGCTCCTCACTGCAGTACCTGCAGTTAAGTCCCTACAGGCATCACACTCTGACCCAGGATCCTGGCACAGTTCTTCCTCTCTAATCCTTAGCACATTCCCCTGAAAACTGCATGGGAGATGCCCTCAGGACAGACAGAACACTGCTGTAGAGCTGAGATGGAGGAAGCACAGAAGTGTGGCCCAGAGCTCAGGCCTGATGCTCCCTGGGCCCCAGAACTTACATGGCCGGATAGGAGGTCCCATCTCTCACACCACTCCATGGCTCTGGGGGCTCCGGGGGAGCAAAGCGCAGTGGTCCCACAGGTGGCTTGGCAAAGGGAATCCCCAGGAAGGTGTGGACACCAACATCGCTGTCTTTCACATGGACGAGGCTTCCTCTCACCTGCCCTGTGTGTGTGTTCCTGATGGGGCTGGCTGAGTCCTTGCCTGTAGGTGGAGAGAAGTCATTAATTGTCACCACACTGGGGAATTCCTACCTCATTGTGGTACATGGGGAAGGTAACCTGGGTCCTCTCAGTTCAGTTGTACGATGTGGATATGAGTCCTTCTGGATTAACTATGTTACTATTGCTGGAAAGCATGACTGTTGGCCCTCTTGAAAGCTGACAAGTCACTTTTCTAGTCACCAAGGTGACAGGCTGAGAGCCTCTCGGCATTATGAAGGAATTATGATCATTATCCATACTGCCACCGGGAGCTCCAGCCACAACCACACACAAAGGAGAGGGGTGCATGTCTCTCCTGGTCTTCTGTCCCTGCTGGCTCATAAGGACATAACTTTACACATCTCTGACCCTCCTGTGCCACAGGGCCCATCCTGTGGGCTTTGGTGGTGGCATTAAGGGGTGCACAAATCCACACTTTGATCTGTCATCTTCACCATCTCCTTCCTCCCTGGTGTTTCCCTCCCACAAGCTCAGCCTCTGACTCTGCAGAACTGGGCAGCTCTGACCCAGGTCCCTCTGCTCACTTAGACAGTCTCACCATGCATGTGGAGAAGCAGGAGCCCACAGGCCACAGCAAACAGCCAGCCAGGAGGTCTACCGAGTGACATGGTTGAATCCCAGGCCTAAGTCTGTGCTGCCACAAGGTGACAACCTTACAACAACAGGAAGCCCAGAAGGTAGGACTTGCCCAGGTAGGAAATTTAGACCTTTCGGAGTGCAGGTGCAAAGTTCTTATTGCAGCACAACTGTTACGGCAGAAACCACTGGGAGCCAATAGCCAGCAGGCAGGGCAAAGTCACTCTCTGGACTCTGAGAGAGACAGAGCATAGCATCTGAAGTCCTTCAACAACACACACACACAGACACAGATACACAGACACACAGTTGTCACACAGTCACACACACACACACACAGTATCATCTGTGCAGCACTGACATGCGATCTGCTGGGAGAAGCACAGCTGTGACTGCACACAAAGTCCTGGCCTGCTGTGCTGGGGACCAGGAAATGAGGAGATGACAGAAAGTCACCTAAGGACCTAAAGACCTACAGGCTCTCAGTCTGGACATTGGGTGAAGTTAAGCCTTTGGACACCATGGGTTTGTACCTCAGAAAATGTCCTGCTTTGGATGCTGTGCAGTCTTAAGCAGTCCTGATCCTCTCTGCCTGGGAGTGCAGGGAGGGGTCCAGGGAGACCCTCCTCCTGCTGTGTGCCATCTCTACAGCTCCACCTCCCTGGCACCTCCCCTCCCCTAGCACCATGGTCAACACTGCAGAGTCTGGCAGACCTGATGAGTTGTAACAAGAAAAGTTAAAATCCTTAAATCGGCCAAGCGAATCTTCTGCTGCAGCCCCTCCCCCATCTGACCCGCAGGAATCAGTGTCTTTGGTGCCACCTTTGTGGATGAGGCCAGGGCAGCAGCCACTCACAGCCACCAAAGAGTGACTTCCAAAGTCTTTCTCAGTCAAGTGCTCACCCTGTCCTGTGACTTGCTGCCTGCACACCATGGCCTTCCTGACAGCATCTTTGTCCATGCATCTCACTGAGGGCTCCGGACTGTGATGACTGACAGTCATTGCAACAGACAAAACCTATGGAGACGGTCCTGCTTAGAGCCTGCCCACACTCACAGTGTAATGGAGTGAAATGTCCTTGTGACTGGAAGCTAAGAATCTATATCCAGACCAGGAGTCACTAGTGAAAATCAAATTAGGTGAGCAAGTTTCTTCTTTTTCTGCTTTTTGCTTTTGTTTTGATTTTTGTGACAGAGTATTGAATGTAATCCAGACTGGCCTGCTATCTCGGCTTCTCGGGTTCTGTGTTTATAGCGTATCACCTATAAAACATGCAGCTAATACACCCTTCTAAGTAATCTTGGGTATCGTCTGTAAGCCTCTGCTACTTTGATGTTCTCATGGATGACACAGGGCAGGATGGATCAGAAGAGGACAAGTCCACTCTATCTCTCTTACAGGGGTCACAGAATCTGAGCCCAGGAATCCAAAGAATACCCCAAACAGCAGCCATCAGTGAGTCAGGCAGGTCGTCCTGCATGGAGAACTCTGGTGACCTCCCAGAGCCTGGTGACCCACAGCAGGGGTCACAGGTGAGGTGAGTTCAGTGGATCTGACAGGGGTGACTCAACAGAGTTTACACTGTCAGATTGCAGAATCCCAAGTGGAGGTCAATGGGTCCACACTAGGAGAGTGTATGGCTGCACACACCCTGGGCATGTAGCCATTTTGGCTCAAATCCTGATAAGAGCCTGAAAGTTTCTGATAGGCCCAGAGCACACATGCCCTTTGCTTTGGAAGCCAGCCTGCCTTTGCCTCAAGGTAGGTGCATGGTTAAAGGAGCCCAGGGACCACTAAGGTCAACTGAGGCCTGTGGGGCACTTCTATATGCCTGATAACTCTATACCAGTTAAAGGATGGCCGGCCACTGTTCTGTCCTAGGTGACACACTCACGTATCACACTCAGAGATATCTGGCATCATGAATGTATTATTATCATTATTCAAAAGTCCAGGAGCAGCTAGAGATACAAAAGCACCTAGGAAAAGATCCCTCTGCTCCTTTATCCCCTGGCCTGCAGGTCCAGCACAACTCAGATCCCCTGCTACTGGGCTGACTCCTCAGTATGGGTCACCTCCTCCTGCATCAGTGTTTTGCTTGGGAGAAGGCTCCTCTGTGGGCTTTGGGAGGCACATCTGGAATCAGTTTAAGTAAGGTTCCCCTTAAGAGTCTCCCCTGAATGAGAAGGAGAAGCAGGAGCCCTTAGGCCACAGCATTTAAACAGTTAGGAAGTTAATCTGGTGGTATGATGGCCTCTCATTCTGTGATACAGTGGGGAGCACTGTGTGTCATTGACAGGAAACAGAATATAAAGACCTGGCTCAGACGGGATTTTGGATCCAAATGGAGTAGGAGGAAAGTTTGCTGGGACAGGGAAACATCTTAACTGAACTGGCAAAGTAGAGGTTACAAGAGTCAGTGGCAGCAGATAGAACCAAGCCAGGTCCACCATTCCTGCTTCATCTTTATCCTCTATGGAAGGCACAGCAGGGCTCCCAAGGTCCTTCTAGGATATTAGCACCTCTCCCTTTAACCTGGAGTCGCCATGTTCACAGTCCTTCCAGCAACAAGGCCAAGGTGGTGTGTGTGTGTGTGTGTGTGTGTGTGTGTGTGTGTGTGTGTGTCTGCCCAGAAGAGTAGGGCTGGTTCCTTTGTGTCTGCTGAGGTTTGTTTTTGCTCCTGAGGGTTCTACTGACTCTGTGAGGCCCACCTTTGCATGGTCATAGCATATCTATAAAGATGTTTGACAGTAGAATTTGTCATACTAGTATGAGGATGCCAGAAGGTCCAGACATGTGCAGTAAAGGAGATTCCTGTCCCATGTATCCCCGAAAGCCTATTTTTATATGAATTGGTCATGCTTGCTTTTCTACTTAATCAGGGTAGATGATCTTCTTGTATTCTTAGATTTGGTTTGCATGTAATTTATGAGGATTTTTGTATCTATGTTTATAAGAAAAATGGTTTACAATTCTCTTTCTTTCTTGGATTGCTAGGTGGTTTGGGTCTCAGGTAACTATGACTTTGTAAAATATATTGGACCATGTTCTTTCTGTTTTTGTTTTGTGGAATAATTTGAGGAGTGTTGTTATTACCCCTCCTTAAGGTAGAATTCTGTATTTAACCATATTGAGCTGGCCTTCTTTCGGTTGGAAGGCTTTTAATGACTTCTATTTCGCTGGCAGTTGTGGGTCTGTTTGAACTACTTTTCTGACTTTGATTTAACTTTGGTAAATAGTATGTACTAAGAAAATCATCCATTTCTTTTAGCTTCTCCAATTTGGTGAAGTACAAATTTTAAAGTATATTCTTAAGATTCTCTGGATTTTCTTGGTGTCTGTTGTTGTATCCTCCTTTTCATTTCTAGTTTTGTTCATTTGAATATGAATCTCTCTGCCTTTCAGATTTTTTGAATAAGGGTTTGTCAATCTTACTGATTTTTTCAAGAACCAACTCTTTGTTTAGTTGATTCTTTGTAACGTTTCTATATTATTTATTGGAGCTCTAAGTTTGATTACTTCTTGCCATCTATTCCTACTCAGTGTGATTTCTCTTTTTGTTCTAGTAGATCTTTCAGTCATGCTGCTGAGTTACTAGTGGGAGATCAATCCAATATTTTGCGTACATACTTCAATGTGTCCTGTAAGTTTGAGTGTGTGTATTTATTTTCATTCAATTTTAGAAAGTCCATAAATTTCATTGTAAATTCTGTCTTGACCCATTTTTTAATTTAGTAGAGTGTTGTTAATTTTCCATGAATTTCTGAAGCTTCTGTTGTTGATATCTGGATTTAATCCATAGCAGATAGATAGGATTCGGGGTGTTTTTTTCCAATTTCTTTAATTTTCTTAGACTTGCTTTGTGTACCAGTATACAGTCAGTTTTGGTGAAACTTCCATGAGATGCTGAGGATGCCAAGGGACACAATTCACAGCCCTCTGCCTTACACAGGTTGAGTTCTCTTTGACAAAATTGTGCCTAATGGTCCCCATTGTCTTTTGCATCTTGTGAAGGAGGGGATGGCTCCTCTGGCTGTCACTTTTCAGCATGGGGAAGTGGGAACAGGTGTCAAACCGGCCATAATAGATTGTACACTGAGATTTTTCAGGGCATATACACTAAGTCGGGGATGTTGAAAATTTTCTTCTCCTTTACTGGAAGAATAAGTCCATCCCTGCATAATTCTTGTACTGTTGCTGTCCAAGATGTCTATATGTGAACAGATGGCCTCAGACACCCTGGTTACTGCTGAAAGGTAAGAGGGAAGAGGAGAGAGAAGACTCTTCTTATACTGAATAGTGGTTTTGTGTAGAAATGGGGCAATGGGTATGGAGTTCAAAGGCTTTACTATCCTGAACCAATTAACTCATCTCTATGACCTTTTGACCTTAGAGTCTTCAAAGCAAATTAAAAACCAAAATCAACAACATTAAGTGTGAAATCTCTTGAGATGGGTGTGAGCATCACAGGATGAATTAATAAGTGTGGGTGAGGAATTAACTTTTGGGGCATCAGAAAATGCCTGGGACCTAAACTTATTCCCTCACCTTGAATGGCTTCAGGTCTTCAAAGTTATCCCTGAGTTTGGTGACCTTCTGATAGAGGAGGCCATGAGAGGCACTGAAGACCCCCTAAGCCTCAAACTACGTTCTTGAGATGATGGCAGGTTTCACATTTCTGATCTATGCCCTGCAAGAAACATATGTCAAGGTGTGAAAAGGATCTCGAGGAAGAATGAGATCAGGTGTTTATTTCTGTACAGCTCTAAAGCTGTGAGGTTAGAATTCAAGTTCTTTCCATCCCAGCCTGTGCTCCCTCCCCTGTACCCACCCAAAACGAGCACAGTAACAAAGAGGCTGATGGGAATGCTTTACATTGTGTATTTCTTTGAAAAAGGGTTTCAATATGTTGGACTGATTGTCCTAAAATTCACTTCATGTCAAAAGACAGTCCTCTTGTCTAGGGGCTTGAGAGTACAGCAGTGTGCAACTACTCCCTGACCTGGGAACACTGGTACCAGTTCTTCCTTTGTTGTTTTAAACCAATGGAACATCGTCATCCAAGTGATGATCACACACATCATCACCACCAGGAGGCAGGAGAGCAATGAGAATACT